GGCTGGCTGGCCGGCCCCGCCTCCGCCGCAGAGGCGGGTCCCGCGGGCGGCGCGGCCGGAGGAGGTGAGGCGGCTCCGGGCGCGCTCCGAGGCCGTGCGGCGCAGGCCTCGCCACCCCGCGGGGCTCCGTCCCAGCGCGGGGAGCGCCCACTCCGCGGGGCGGCTGCAGGGGCGGCGGGAGCGGCGCCCACGACGGCCGGGCCCCCGCAGCCGCCACTGCCTGTGGGTCGCCGAGCGCGGGGTGCAGGGGGCGGGGGGCACGTGCCCCCGTTCCAGGACCCGGAGGGGCCCCCATTGAGCCGAGTGGGGGGAGACCGGGACGGGGAGGGCCTCCCGCCTGGGCGGCCGTGGCGGGGGACCCGGTAGATGCGGGCGGGGAGGCGCTCCCTCCTCGGTGGCTCCTGGCTGCATGCCGCCTCCGGCCCCAGAGGCAGCGTGCCTGCGTATGCCGGCTGCTGCGGAGCATGGGCTAGGGGGTGCCGTTGCTTTTCTGTCCTGCGGGTGGGCTTCCCTTTGGGGCGCTATGACAGGCCTGGTCCGAGCCAGCCGCGGCGCTGGGCTGATGTGCTGCATCGTCCTCCCCCGGTCGGTCCAGCACAGCTCTTGAGAATTAGTGTTTTTTTGAACTGCCCAGAGAGCTGCAGCTCTTGTGCAGCGTAGAAATATAATTAATAATAGCATAAACTCACTAGCAGTTATGCGGCAGATGACCCGCACCGAGGTGGACGAGTGTAGGATTGCAGCGTTCATCTGCAGCCCTAGACGCACCCTTACTTTGGATCCATTTCCAATGCAATTCATAAGGCCGCCTTCTGAGCAGGCAGCCCTCTGCTCTTTTAGATGCCGGCTGTCCCCAAGATGCCCTTGAGGAAGAATTGCTCTGCAGAATATGGGCGTCCACATGGCAGGCATGTCGTGAGCGGAGCCGGCTGGTGCCGGAGGTCAGACTAGATGGCCTGGGAGGCCCCTTCTGACTCGCTCTGTTTTCTATGTTTCTAATATTGCCAGCGGACTCCTGTCCCCATAGAACTCTCCAAGAAAAAGTATCTCAGATTGCAGCCTTGGGTGCTATAGAATATGTCGTGATATGATCCTCTGAGGATGAGCACTTTTAGCAGTCTAGGAAAGCCCTGTGGGACCTACAGTAAAAGTACAATCACAGCTCCTTTGAAGCTTTAAAGAATGCACCTCAAATTTCCAGAGTATGTAAAGTGACAAATGTCACCTCAGCCACAATAACCGCTCGGAGGGTCAAAGGTCCAGTAAATGCAAGAAGCTGGTGTAAGAAACTCACAGGTGGTTGTGGGCAAGCTCTCGCTTCTTTGTAATGTCGAGTGAGACTCTGTTGCTAATACACAGCCTCTGAGTTTAACTTTGATGCCTATATAAATCCTCTTACTGGAATCAGCTGAGCTGCTATTGTAATCTCTCTCTTTTTTTTCCCCCAGAAGCTGACTATGCTGACTGAAGCTTTGATACGCCAAGCCACTGTTCTAAAGAAGCTGCCCCGTGCGACACGCAGGCATTTCTGGGGATGGTTAAACACCGTTTTCAACAAGTAAGGACACAGGCAGAAATAACCAATGGGGGCTCCACACAGAATACTAACATGGCATTTTTCCATGGCGAGCTGAGACCATTTTACCCATTATGATCATCCCCCACCCGCGAGATTTATAGTACTATGAGAGTAAAGTATTATTAATTACTAAATTTGTTTATCATTTCCCACTGCAAAAGCAGTCTTAAAGTGACATTATTACTTATTTATTATACTTAAATATACAGAGAACCATAATTAATAGAGATAAACACTGTATAAACAAGATTCAAGTTGCCAGGGTGACTTATTTTATATTGTTATTTCTTGTATTTTAATTTTATGTTGTGAGCTGCCCCGAGGCTTCGGCGAATGGGGCGGCATAGAAATGTTTTAATAAATAAATAAATAAATTCAGTACAATAATATAAATGCAAGCAATATCATTTTGTTTAATTTTGTATTTGTAAATCAATGTATTTTTTGTATTGTTATATTTAATGGTAATTTATTATGTACTATTGTATTTCAATGTATTTTATCATGTTGTAAGCCGCCCCGAGGTTTCGGCAAGGGGCGGCATAGAAATGTTATAATAATAATAATAATAATAATAATCATAATATAATGATCTATTACAGCACGAAGAGTGATGCTTTGGGCTTTTCCAGCCATTTCATGGAAAGCTCCCAGCCTTTCAAGATTCTTTGCTGGGAGTTGTGAAAGCGGAACTGGTTTAAATGTGTCATGTGTAGGTGCAGGGGTGCTCACAAAGCTCCCCACTCCCAGTGGACCCCTGATAAAAGAAACCCCTGTAGAAGTTCTTCAAAAGAGGAGGAGGAAAGGCCAAGGTTAAAACAAGAAAAACACACCCTGCTGTTAGGGGAGCTTAAAGGGCTTAGTTTTGGTTGGGGTTGTTGATAAAAACGAGGCCAAATATGAGGAACATCAAAGAAGCCTTGCTGGGTTGCACTAATGATCCATTTAGCCCATCGTTCTGTTCACAGAAGGGGCGACTGGATGCCCCAGCAGCTGGTCCACAGGCGAGGAGTGTCAGGGTCATCGGAAGTGGCCTGAGAGTCAGTTGCACCCTCGTTCCACCTGGCCCAGGATTGCAGGCCTGGCCTGGTGGCAGCAGCTCTCTGGGCCTTCAGTCCTGACTTATTCCTAGGCCTTCCCGAAGTGCTGGGACTTGCTTTGTGCAGAGTATGGGGTAGCCCGACCCACGTCCCCCCATCACCCCCGTTCACACAGCAGAGCAGGGATTTGCACCCAGGTCTCCTGATCCCTGATCTCCTCACAGGATGCTGGGTGCTGGACCCGGGGCCTTCGGGTGCATCAGCCTCTTAAGCCGATGCTGCCTGGGGCTTTTCTAAGCCTGCACATACAGCACAGATGCATACTTAAACTGGGGCGTCGCACGCCTCCAAGCTGTGACTCCTTCCCCTGCGTGTGCAGTTGGAGGTGGCGTGTGCCACAGAAGGAGCTAACTCGGTCTCTCTGTTGACAGGGTAGACTACGAGCGGATCAAGGATGTCGGCCCGGACAGAGCGGCTTCAGAATGGCTCCTTCGGTGTGGCGCGTTCGTGCGTTATCAAGGTTTTGACCGATGGCAGTCCGATTACAACGGACTCCCTACCGGGCCGTTAGGGAAATACAAGATACAAGCAATTAATGCCACAGAATCTTGCATCATGTACAAGGGATTTGATTATTTGGGTAAGTAAATGAGACTCAACTTCACATACTTTGCAACCATTTTTGAAGGGAGAGGTGCAGTTGTTATTTCTGTACCGCCCAGGAGCAGACGCTCCCTGCGCAGTTTGCCGCTTCCCTTCCGATCATGTTTCTCTTGGAGTCCATTCCAGTGTGAGCATTTTAAGAAAAAAGCCTCCTTGTGCACATGATAGGAGACAGGGCCCAGATGTCACATTTCTTTTGCAAGTGGCACCGTCCTCACAAGAGGATTCTCCTTGATTGCATGGACAAGCATTTCTCTTAAATGTATTTTTTCTAGCGCAAAGCAGAACTGGGAAGTCTTGCCGACAAGCGAATGTGCCCCCATGGCACGCTCTGTCACGTTGGTCACACACACGATTAGCCAGAAGGCCCGAGTTGCACCGGAACTGGATATTCTAATAATGTTAATGCAAAGGGTGTGACTTGGGTGTTGTGAGCCAGGATGCGCTTTGGAAGGTAAGACCAGGTCAGAGCATCTCGCTCCCCACATGGAGAGTTAAGCCTGGAACCCTTGGCATGGAAAGCCGGCGTTCTGTTTTTAAGCTGCAGCCTTTTCCACACTGGAAGAGCATCACTCTTCCGCAGAGGATATTACAATAGCTCTACATTTTTTTGCCCATCTGTAAAAACTCAACATTTACTTCTCTTTTTGTCCTGGCTAAAGTCAAGTTGCAAAAAGTGGGTGTCCTGCACTCTGCATCCATTCTGGCAGAATGTACCTCAATTTTATTTCACAGGCCTGGGACGTGGCCAGCCTGCCTAGCCCTTCCCGAGCTCCTTCAGTTATCAACCGGTCTGGGAGAGAAAATGGATGCCTTTGTATGCTCAGGCAGCACCCTTGCCATGATGGAGTAAGAACATGCGCAAGAAAAGGCAAGGTCCACCCAGTCCAGCGCTCCGTACACACAGTGGCAAATAGCTGCCCGCGGGATCCCTCCAGCAGGAGGGGTGCCAGGCATCCCCCTGCCCAGCTCCTCAGCAAAGCAGCCCGGCCCCCTCTGGCGAAGGAGGCAGCCCAGGGCCAGCGAGGCTGGTGGCCACTGCTAGCCTCCCTCAGGGATCCGCCGATCCCTCGTCAAGCCACCCAGATTGGCGGCCGTCACCACTTTCCCTGGGCAACAGATTCCATCGCTTAACTATATGCGTGTGAAGTCCTTCCTTTGATCTGCCCTGCCCCTCCCACCAGCCCACTTCATGGAATGACCCTGGGTTTGGGTGTTACGGGAAAGAGAAAAATGTCTTCATTTCTCCACACCGTGCATTATTTTAAATACCTCTCCACATCTCCCCTTACCCATCTTTTTTCTAAGCTAAACAGCCCCAGTTATTGTAGCCACTCCTCACAGGGGAGCATCTTCAGCCCCGTGATCAGTTCAGTCGCCCTTCTCTGTACTTTCTCCAACTCCATAGTCCCTGGGGCTGCGCAAAACAATTCCCACAGGTTGCATGCGACCCTTTGGCTTAGCCGAAGCCAGTTTGCATGAGATTTTCTCCATCGCCTAGGCACGATTCCTCACCACTCGTGGAAGCTCGGACATCGCTCAGCATCTGGTGAGCCCTTTCCTTAGAAATGGGTGTTGCACCTATTTCAGATGCCCTGGAGCAGGTCGAGGAAATCAAGCTTTGCAAGTGCATGTATATCCAAGATGAATGTTTGCAGCGGCTCAGCGAGATCCCGAACATGCAGAAGAGCCTCCGGCGCCTGTGGATCATCTCCTGTGGGAACGTCACCGACAAAGGCATCATAGCCTTGCATAAGCTCAGGTATGTGACCCACCAGAGAGGTCTCCTCACCTGGGGCATGTATGACAGCTGCACCCTGCACGAAAGAGGGCAATGCACACTGACCTTGGACCCCCTCACGTGCATATGGGAGTCCGGATGGGGCCCATGTCTCTCAAGTGCTTACAGTGTCGCTTCCCAAAATTAAGTCATGTGATACGTGAAGCTAGCCTAAGGTAATGATGTGGAAGAGGAAATTCCGCAGCGGACTGGAGTACTGGGCTGCTTATCATGCCGTCCATGAACCGTTCAAGTTAGCTGGCACTGGAATCACTCCATTTCTGTAATTTAGCAACCTCAAGAAAACGAAGTGAAGGCAACACAGGGTATTGTTAAAAGTGGGGCAGGGAGTTGATACTGTGATGGTCAGAATGTGGGTTGACAGTTCAGTCCAGGGTCGTCTTTGGTTCATTATTCTTTGGTTAGGCAAGTCCAAGAGTAGACAGGAAAACTTGAGCCTGGTCATCCTATGCCTCTCTTAGGGATTCTAAGCCCTGCTTCTTGAGGTATCTTGTATCTAAAGCCATTCTTTGTACCATTTGCTTTCCACAACCACCAGTAATCGTTTTGCTAAATGCAATCTTCCTTCTTCCATAATTTAATTTTCACAGTAATTTGCAGACTTTGTTCCTGAGCGACCTACCTGGAATAAGAGAGAAGGAAATGACCTCACAGATCCTTAGGAAATCACTGCCAGAGCTGGAGCTGGAATTAGACCTGAATTAAAGCGACGCCACCGTGTGTGGCTTCGGAGAATTCATCTGTGACAGCCGCCAAAAGGGCCGCATGGTCTCGGAGCAGTGCTGCCGGCTTGTGCCTGCAGCCGCTGGCAACATCTGCCCAGTTGCCAGATGGTGGTGGTGGCCTTGGCAGCCCTAAGATGCACAGACCAGCGGCTCCGCCGGGCGATGCTGGCAGGGGATGTGGTTCAGGACACTTTGTGAAATGGTAGAATTATTCTGAACAAAATAAATAGTACTTGTTGTGCGCTTGGCTGTCTGGTGCCGGAGGTGCGTTTTCATTAGCTAAAGCCATGCCTGACCAGAGTCCAAACTTTGGACAAAACGCTATGAAGGGCCCAGGGTGTTCAGCTGAGGAGGGTGGAAAGCTGTACTGCTAGCGGACCTCTCCCCTCTCCGTCCAGCGGTGTGTATGTGTGTGTGTGTGTGGGGGGGTCTCCTCTCTGCACTAGGAAGAATGCATTTCTCCAGCATTGGGAGACGGACCAGGCTTGGAGCAGGGCCAGGAAAGAAAGCCTGACGTGCCTCGGGCCGGCTGCAGGGCTGCTCTCTGGTGCTCTGAGGCGCGGATTTGCAGTTTCGCCTTCCTGGATGTTTGGAAAGGAGCCAGTGCTGCATCTTCAAAGGAGGCCAGATCCCAGAGAGCGACTGTAAAGATGGGGCAGCAGAACTTCGCGACAGCTTAACTGAATGAGCTCTTGCAGCCAACGAAAGTGAATTTGCAAGGAGCAACTCCTGCCAAGGCACTTTTAGTTGCAAATGGATACCCTCTTGCGGAAAGGGTTTACTTGCTAATAAGGTCATGTGCCTTACCCTCAACTTCTCAATACACATATTCAGTTTTCCTACAGCTGTGGAAGAGAAGCCAGAATCACAGCCTGTTATTGCAGATGGCACAGGACCAGAATTGGAAGGGCGTGGTCTAGTTTTCCAAGAAAAAAGCACTTTAAATCAAGTTGTCCTTTCCCAAATTTATTTATTACTTGAGCAACAATTAACGTGTGCTGCCTAATAGCTATTACAATTAAATTAAGTGATTTGTGGCCATATGCAAGGCTAGGAGCACAATCCAGAATTCTTCCCTCATACTCTGCACCACAGAATTACATCTTTTCAATCCTCTTTCTTTTTGGTTCTCACAATGCAAACCACCAAACAAAATGGACTTACTTTCAAGTGTACATTGGGTTCAAGCTACCAGCGGTCTAAAGAAAAAGCTCCTTGCAACTGGGGAAAACTTTCTCCAGGGGAAGTAAAGCAAAGCAGCCAGTCTGCTTGGAAAGTACGATTCATAATTGCTTGTGCAGTAGAACTGAAAGCTTTGAAGAGCTCAAGAAATTCTACGGCATAAAATAGGAGCAATAAAATTATGCGCGCTCAGTGGATGAAGGTCAAAACAGCATCTCCCTCATCCTTAATACTTGAGATTTTCCCTGGGCCCAACAGGAAGAGAATAATGCATGTAAAGGGACTCAGCAGAAAGACCCTGGCACCTATCCCTCTGACATTTGGAAGCCGCGGACCATCAAGGAGCTTCTATGCTTTAAAATGTCAAATTCTGAAAAACAAGTTACAACAGGATTCCTCTTCATTTTCCATGACTGTCAGTGGGCAGCCTGCCTATCCAGATTTCCAAATCTTGACTACAAGTCCAACTGGACAGACTCTGGTTCATTCCAAGCCAAACTGAGCCATTTTATGAAGTGCCAAATTAGGATGTTAATCAATGCTGAAGGTTAGTGGAGGTTTCTAATACGAAACTGTTATTTTTAATACACCACCTCAAAAATCAGGTATTTTCCACTGATTCTTCTTTACATAAAAAGCAGCCTTAAACTCATTATGATGGATATCACAGTCTTAAAAATGAACTGTTCGTCTCTGGAAACATGTTTATTTTACATTCAGATTTTCATTCTAATCCATGTCATTTTAGGAAGAAATCTGCGATTGAAATTTAGAGGAAAAAAATCAGTTTAAAGACATAAAGAGGAGTTCTTTGATTTTTATGCACTGCGCTTGATTAACGGTGGCCAAGACCGGGGCTGAACTGCTGATTCTCACGCTTCGTCACCACACCACACAAAGACGGTGCTCCCTGCGCATCGCGCCATTCGCAGGGGCAGCCCGCCATGCGACTTGCCACATGTCCTGTTCTCTCCCCCACTTTGACACAAAAGGATCTTACAAATGGGATATATTTGGCAGAGAGGCTGCAGAGTCAGCAATGGGCTTGATCATCCTGAATGAAATACAGATATGGTGGCCCCCTCCCCCTGCAAAGTCCAAAAATTCGGATTTTTGGTTGAACCCAGGGCAGTTCAAGCCCTTCAGCCAGCCTCCCGCACTGCAGGGAGTTTCTTTCCAAGGTTTGCCACTTAAACGAAGGCCTTCGAGGCGCATTTCACTAGGGAGGTGTCCGAGTTGCTTTCTCCCACGTCCAGGCTGAGAACTTTCAGAGAATCAGTACGCGTCCGCTTAACTGTCGCGGCACCAGCTTTTTTAGATGTTTGGGAAATGGTAGTTCAGTTTCCGTGTGCTGCAGAAGTGCTTCTTGTTGTCCAACGCAGGTAAAATGTTGCTGCTGGTTAACTGGGGCAGGTACTGGAACTAAAAACAGAAAATAGATGATAACTGGCAAAGGGCGACAAACACCACTGTAAAAGGGCCGTGCAGAGATGAATGGGGCTGGATCCGGCGCTGCGTGGGAGGAAGTCGGGGTCTCGTGCCCCTCGCACGAGCCCAGAGCTGCTGAGGAGTGTGGAAGGAGCGCATGGATGCTCTGGCATCCCCGCTCGGCTGTGGCGCCTCGGGGGGGGCCTGCAGCCCAACCTCCCTCCCAGGCATGCTCTTGCGGGACAAGACTGAGCAGCAGCAGGTCAGCCACTCTGAGGCCTTTGTCAGAAAAGGGTGGGATGTAAACCTAATGCTTGACAACTTGGTAACAGACTGACATGCCTCATAATTCCATCCGTCGTGTGTTGTAACGGATGTACTTAATGCACTCCTGTCTCCAAGTCTTCAATTCACACTTGATTTCATAGTAGATTTAAAGGGAATAATATTTTGACCCCCAGACGAGTGCAAAAAGAAAGCGCTATTCCGTTGAGTACAAGAAAGGAATCGTGGAGGACTCTCGGGGCAAGAATCTTACGGCTTTCGTAAGAAAAAATAAGGCATCACCTGAAAATAAGCCCTGATGTGTCTTTTGGAGCAAAAATTAATGTAAGACCCAGTCTTCTTTTCGGGGAAATACAGTGAATTAACAAACAGAGATGATGAGGGGGTCAGAGATCCCCAGCAACTTCCCAGGCCTACGAAGGTCGGCCCCACACCTTGCCCCATAGACCAATAAAGACCGGTGTTCTGATTGCGAGTAAACGAGGGGTGAGGACCGCAGACCCACGGCCCATGGCCGTCCCCTCCTGCGATATTCCAAGCCTGGCCCCGAAACGCCCGTGCGACCCAGTCCCTCTCACCCCAGGGCCGTGCTTCCTGGCTGGCCGGGCCTTCCGTGTGATGGATTTCTCGCGCTCCCTCCCGAGCTCTGCCTCCCGGATGCTGTCGAAGTAGGGGTGCTGGAGGAGCTGCTCACAGCTCAGCCGCTCTGCGGGGTCCATGTGGAGGCAGCCCTGCGGGGAGAGCAGCACGGGGTCTGGGGGGTCGCCCTCGCAGATGCACCGCGTGGAAAGGGGGCCGGTCGCCGGGGCAGCCACGCCGATCACGCACGCCCTGTGCCGGCCTCGCTGCGAAGGCCGGCTGGGCGCCCACAGTCCTCGCCAGCAGGCTGGAGCTGCCCTCTGCCTGCGTGGGCCCCGGCCCCGGCTCGGGCTGCAGGCCTCCCGAAGCCCCTCGCCGGCTGCCTTGGAATCGGCAACGACATGAGGCACTCCCATAAAATCAGGAGACCACCTCCGGCAAGGGCGGCAACGGCCGTTCCGGCAGGCCGAAGCGCACCAGCCTGCTGAGGAATCGCCTGCTCTTCCTAATGCAAGCAGGACTGTATTATTCTGGGATGCTGTACGTTGGCGACTGACCCAGTGGCCTTCTTGGCCCCTTCCAACTCCACTATTCTACGATTAGTGTTATCATTGCTGAACCGTAGGCGAAGCTCCCTGGGAGGTTTGCAGCAATGAAGTAATATAGATTAAAACCTATTTGTTGTTCAGTCGCAAAGCTGTGCCCAACTTTTCACGACTCTGTGGACGACATTCCTCCAGGCTCTCCTGTCCTCCACCACCCCCGGAGTCCACCCAAGCCCCAGCGACCCCCTCCAGCCCCCTCATCCGCTGCCAGTCCCTTCTCCTTTTGCCGCCAGTCGTTCCCAGCATCTGGGTCTTCTCCAGTGTGAAAACCAACAGTGAGGATTTAAGAAAAAATTCTTGTCCTGTTTTTACTGACAGCGTGTAAGCTTTGTGTGGCGAGTTTTGTATGCAGAAGCGGGTGCTCGAGGGCCCTCCCCTCCTGGTGGGCCGGCTCTTCATGAGCCCCTCAGCCCTCGGTCACCTCTGCTGAATCTCCTCTCTAGCCCGGCGGCCGGGATGCTGCGCGCAGAGCAAGAACTACCTCACCTCAACGGCGAACAACAGCGGACATAACACAGGTGTACACGATTGTGATGTAGTCGCCCTCTCCCCCACTACTAGGACCCAACCCGGTCACCCCACGAAGCTGGCTGCTGGGAGATTCAGGACAGATAAAAGAGAAGGAACGTCTTAACACGGCACGGGGTTCAAATACGGAATTTACCTCCCGAAGGCGTCGTGACGGCCACCCATTTGGAAGACTTAAAAAGGGACCAGAGAGTTTACTGGAAGAGGCAGCCGTCTGTGGCTACGTGTCACCCCATGGCTCTGTGGCTCTGTGGGCCTCTGTGACTGGAAGCAGGTTGCCTGGGGCTTCGGCGAATGGGGCGGCATAAAAATGTTTTAATAAAATAATAAAAATAATAATAAATGGGTGGGAGGGTCGCACCCACGCGCGGCTTGTGAGTTTCCGTGGGCACCTGCTTTGCCACCGTATGAGCAGAAAGCTGGACTGAGTGGCCCATGGGCTCCTATTATGGGATAAACTTCTGCAGAGCAAGAACCCCCCATGCTGAAATAGCACATCTATAGGATAAACCTGCAGGGAATTACCCCGAAAGAATAATTAAGCAGAAGCTGTGCAGTTCTGCCAAGAACGGCTCGACGCTGAGGTGGGTCAAAGGTTTTCCTCCGAGAGCCGTGTTTCCTTGGAAGTGGTCCTTAAAGGGGCACGCAGACACCCCCACCCACTCGGCGCTGCCCGACGCTGCTCAACGGCCCTGTGCATAAAAATGCTGAGCCTCCCCAGGGACCAAACTTTCAAGGAGCCGGAAGGGGGCCCCGTTCTTCCCTTCTGCAATTCACTCTGTAAACCTGATCCAGTTATATAAAAGAAATAGGGTGGAAAGGTACCGGCAAGAGTTAGTAAATCATTAATTTAAATTATGAGCTAGAATTTAATTGGTATGCAGGTGGCATGCCCCAAATGACCCTTTTGTTGGGCATTAGGCAGGTAGAATTTGGGAGAAAAGCAAGATATGGCACAGTTTACTAAACTTCTATTGGGATTTTGCAGGGAATATTAAACTGGCTTAACCTGAAAGAGCTACCTCAAAATGGCCTGGAGCAACTGTTTCCACTGAAAGGAGGATTTTATCCAGGTGTTGCATCTGCCGCCCTGTTTTATTCTTGCAGCTACATCAGTTCTTTTGTTTGCGAATGAAGTGCTTACAGCACAGAGGCAAATAAATCAGTTACGCCAAGATCACAGTTCTCAGATGCTTTGCTCACCTTCATGAGTCCTAGAGCAGAGTAGGAAATGGTGGGGAATTTCATTTCCAGTGGCTCCTAGGAGTTAAAAAATGGAGGGGAAACATTAGCACAACCCATTAGAAGAATTCTGGCTCTCCTTCACTGTAGGGTAATCAACAGCTAGAAAAAAGATCCCATGACAAAGCAAAACTCTCAAGAACCGAAAGATCTGCACTCAGTGACCGAGTTCACATGACACAAACATCCATCATGGGTCGCCACCCGCAATAGGGTGCGGTATCATGTGACCCCAGACCCATGTTGCTGGGTGGCTCGTGGCCGGGCAGCAGCTGCCGTGGCTCGTTCGGGGGGCTGCTCTGCACCATCTGGACCCAAAGAGCGACGCTCTCGCTGCCTCTGCCACAGGGCCACCAGGAGAGCGCCCACAACGGCTCACCCCACGGCGCCCACCTGCACGTGGGGCTTTGCTCCCTCCCCACTGTGCCTGTGAGTCATGTGGGGCCGCTGCAGCTATGACCCTTTTGATTACCCTCCCCACCCCCCCACCCCACACACATTTTGGCTCCTGGGGAAACCAGCTGTCAAAAACATCAGAACCTCTCTTCGGTTGAGAAAGGGAGTGTAAGCGCAGGTGGGCGCTTTCCGAATACCGAACGGCTCAGGTGCGCCGTGATGGGAACGGAGGGTGGGGGGGCACTGTGGGAATCTTGCCACAATCGCCCTGCCGGCATTTTTCACGGCTAATGCTCGCTGGAGCATTTGGATGTTCTTAACAGCACCTCCGACAGCCGCCACGAAATCCAAAGGGGAAGGAATGGGTTTGAAGCGGCTTCTGAGGCAGTGCCCAGGGCTGGTGCTCACTGACCCCTGGTGAGAGGACCCCCCCCCCCCGGACACTGCCCAGATGATGCGCCAAAGCCCGGCCGTCGTGCAATTCCGATTGTTCGCAGCTGTGCTACTGCGGCTGGGAACGGTTAAAAACCAAACAGCGACGATTTTGTGCAAATATTTAAAAAGCCACGGGCAGCTCCTTGTGGTGCCACTGGAGCACTTGAAAAGGGTTGTTTGCAGCGGTCGAGACAAGGATCAGGAAAGCAGGCTAGACGGCTGGCCTTCCCCCGTTCCCGTCAAAAGCAGGGTCAGGAAAGAAAGGAATCTGGAACCGGCTCACACTTGCGGTGGGAAAGGGGCAAGAGAAGTGCTCCTTCCTCCCGGGGCACCCCAGGAGGAACCAGGGAGGAGGAGGTGCCAACCGGCTGCAGTGCTCCTGACCATCTGTCCTGCTCCCCGTGGATTATTTGGCACCCACACGACAGAAGAGACGTGCAAATGCTCAGCTGCCTGGAAAGAGTGTACATTTTGCTTGGTGCACTTCAGAAACCCTCCTTTCCCTTTGTCAGGGGCCAGCTGCCTTCTTCTGGATGCATTCAGGCTCCAGAGCGCCTCTTCTGAGTGGACATGTTGCACCCATGGCCTTACTGTCGGGGCGGCCGGCACGGCACAGACAGTCCCCTGCAGGGCTGGAAAAATGCCTGCCTCAGCCCCTGGAAAGCCCTTGTGGCCACGTCATGTCGAGAGGACTGGAAGGGCTGGACCGAGTGCTGAGTCCGCCCGCACCTCCCCACACGCCCTCCCGTTCTGGCCGCTTGTGTTGGAGTCCTCCTGTCTGTTTCCAAGCGCGATCCGCCCCCAGCCCCCGTATCCTGATGCTGCTCTCCCTCCTTCCCTGGTTACACGTCCCTGGAGCCACGTCCAGCGGCCAGCAATCCCGCTCAGCCCATTGTCGGTTCCCAGGCAATGCCCTCCGTCTCCAGGCAGCCGCTGTGCCAAGCAGCCCTTCCGCAGGCCAGACACGAAGCCTGCAAGCCAGAGCAGAGCAGAGCAGAGCAGAGCAGAGCAGAGCAGAGCAGAGCAGAGCAGAGCAGAGCAGAGCAGAGCAGAGAAAGCCAGGCCCGCGGTCTTGTTTACGGAGGTGGCGGGGCACGGGGCTTTTCGGGAAGATGCTCACCATGCTTTCGGGGTCAGGAATCCTCACCCCGCTGAAGAACTGGTTGGAGCTGAAGACCTGCTGGTGCCGAGGAATGAGGTCACCTTGGAACGAGAAGACGGCGGAAGCTCCGTCAGTTCGGGCCGTGCCCCTGGCAGCTGCGACACTGCGAGAATCCGCGCCGCATGGGGCTTGCCTGGGTGGGGAGCCACTCCGCTTGACACAGATGTGCTGCTGCTAGGTAGCTGGCACAGTGCTTGTCCCCGGGGCCAGCAAGATACAGGCAGGAGCACCCCGCCTTTTCATCTCCTGCCCTTAAAGGCACTTCATTTTTCAACCAAAGTCCGAAAAGCACAGCGCAATCTGCCGAGCACTTGGAAAGGCAGCCACGAAATGCCGGTGCGTCGCTTCCCAGCCGTGATGCAAAAGTGGTCCAGAGCGGCTTCCCCAGATGTGCTTGACTACCACATCCATCCTTCTGGCCAGCATGGTGGGAGCGGCAGTCCCACTCAGCTGCAAGGCACGAGGCCAAGGAAGGCCGGGCTTGGCTGCGCCGAGCCTGCGAGGGAGGCCACCCAGCGCCAGGTTGGCCCTTTGTGCCGCATCCAGTGCCGGTCTGGACCGGAGAGAGGGCTGCCCCAGCCTGGAGGGCACAGACGGCACCCTTCGCCAGGGGTGCAAGGCCACCGGTGCTCAGGCACAAGGACGGTTTGCACAGTGGGCATGACAAACTGCACGCCACTCCTGGAAGAGGGAGAAAGCCGTCCCCCTTCCCCTGGTTCCCGCCTGCTCCTCTTTTCCTCGCAACTCCCCTCCTTTCCTCTCCCTGCATTTTAGTCCTTTCCACCGCCTTCCACTGCCATTTATATTTATATTGGCAGTGGAGGCGGTATATCGGTCGCCTATAATTGCCAAGGCCTCTCTAGGTGGCTTACAATGTACAACATACCAGCAGAATAAAAACACATTAAAACCAATGAAAACATAATAAATTAAACCTCTATAAGAACAATTAAAAAGGGCCACAACATATGGCTAAGTGTTAGAAAATTTCCTCAAAAGATGTCTTTACCTGCCACCGAAAGGAAAACAGAGACGGCGCCAGGCGAACGTCCCGAGGGAGGGAGCTCCGGAGATCCTTCCTTTTTGCGGTTAACACTTCACTGACCCACCCCCATTTTAACGTTTAAATTCCTCCCTTTTAAAGCCACGCGCGTGTGCACGCACCCCTTTCCTTTTGCTGGGGCAGAGAGTGACACAGGGCTTCCCACGTGCGGCGGCGAGCCACCCAAACACACACGGCTCTGCGCTCTCCCTCCGAAGGCACCTGGGCTTCCGCCACTGAAGGGCCGCCCAGGCGACCGCCTGCACAAGCCCGACGCCTCGCAACTGGCCCGCGCGGGAGACATCCCACGTGAGCCGCCACGGGGAACTGGGCCGAGCCTGCCGCAGCCCGGCCCAGGCCTGGCCTCCCCCCGGCTCCGTGGCCTGGCGCTTACCCAGCGTCCTCCGGATCAGGAAAAGCTGGTCCACGTCCGAGTTCCCGGGCCACAAAGGGATGCCCGAGAGCAGCTCGGCAAAGACGCAGCCGATGGCCCAGACGTCCACGGGGGGCCCGTACTGGGTATCCCCCACAAGCAGCTCAGGAGAACGGTACCACCGCGTGGCCACGTAATCCGTGTAGTAGTCGCTGGGTCCTGCTACGAGGGCGTCAAGAAAGGGTTGTGGAATCAGACGGCAGAATCAGAACAGCAGCCAGAGATCGTCAGAGCGACTCTGCCCTCCTGGGGCCATGGCCGTGCAGCCGGTGCCTTCCCAAAGCTGTGCTTTAATAGGGCCATCTTACACAGTCTACTGAATTTCAGTGGGCTCTGCCCCCAGATAAGCGGGCCCAGCACTGTGGAAAGTTCTCTTTCTGCTGTACTGATGTAGATATATACAATTAATCGAGCATTGCAAAGCTTCGCTAGAAGATATGCTAGATAAATGCAGACAGGTGGCTTTTAAACTTATGGGTGCTATCTAACACATGGGGCTTCCACTCATGTGACGGGACTCCCCTTGCTCTCTCGCCCCTTTGCTCTCCCTTGGAGCAGATTTTGAGAAACTGGAGGGGCTGCGAGGACTTGGCGAGTGCCCTTCCCCCACCACTATCCATCTGGCGTGCAGACCCCCTCCCACCCCTGCAATTCCTCCTAATAAACCTACTTAAGATCCGTGCAAATCCAAAATCGCAGAGCTTGATGATGAAATGCTTTGTGATCAGGATGTTCTCCGGCTTCACATCCCTGTGTATGCACTGGGCACAAAAGGAGAACCGTGTCACCGGCCCGACTGACCAGAAATCAGGACGCTTAATTTTATTTAAAATCAGAGGTGGCCAACTGGTTCTGCACAGCTAGGATCGGAGCCTTGAGACCGTGCCTTTTAAAAAATTCTCTTTCTTTGTAACACAGGAATAGCAAAAAGCCCAGGTCCACTTGCCGGGGAAAGAAGCTGAAAGAAAGAGACCTGCCCTTCCTTGTGGATTTCCGCAGGTGAAACGTGAGCAGGGGAGAGGAAGGGCTCGGACGCCGCTCACAAGCGCAGCACACACGAGGGAAGGCGTTGCGTGCGGCACGGCACGGCTGCAGCCTCCACGGCACCTTCCGGAGAAGGTGGCCTTCCAAGAACGACAGTGCTGGCCTGCCGGTCTGAACTGGGCTGGCCAGAAAGACCTTGAGCCTGGCTGGCAAATGGTGCCATCTTCCCTCCGCAGATTTCCAGGTCTTTCTAACCATAGAAACAGAGTGAGTCAGAAGGGGTCTCCGGGGCCATCTAGTCTGACCCCCGGCTCCAGCCGGCTCCGCTCACGACATGCCCACCATGATTCAAGGGAGGCGAAAAGGTGCCTGGCAAAGCCCCCAAACCTTCCCTGGACCCACAGACGATCTTGCATGAGTCTTTGCATATAGACAGAGCTTCCTGAGTGTAGGAATTTTTTAAAAAAGGCTCCATGGCAGAGGAAGACTATCTTCCTGCCTCACACACACGTGGCCAGTTTTTCTCAGGGAAATGGGCAGGTGCAACTTTGGGGGAACGGGAATCATTTGCATTTCTGGATGGCCCTTGGGCATCCTCGTGCCCGCCTTCTGAGAACCATGCGTTCCTCGCTTCCTGCCGCCCGCTTTCATGCCAGAGGCTCCCTTCCCTCGTGGCCTCGCCTTTCCTCTTCCCATCCCCAGTCCTGCTGCCTTTCGCTGCTTCCTATCGCACCCACACGGCTGCTTCTGCCTCCTGCCCGGCTCACACCAGCAGCAAGGCAGCAGGGAACTTGCAGGAGGGGAGGGGAGGGGAGGGGAGGGAGGCACCTTCTGATCCGCACCATCCTGCTTCCCGGCTGGACTGCCGCGCACAGGTGTGGTGTGGGGTGCTCAGGTGTGCGCAGGTGTCCTGCTGGGTCGCCAACCCCAGGCAGCGAGAGCAGCGACCGAGCACCACGCAGCTGCCGCCCTTGCTTTGAAAGGCCCCGCAAGCTGAAATCCGGCTGGCGGCAAGAGCACACGTCCCCGTCCCAGCAGCCCACCGAGGGGCGTGCGGGGAGGCAGGTAACGGGCAGCTCCCTCACCTTTCGCTCCAGCCCTGCCCAAAACTGGCCTCTGGCCTCACCCGACAGATCACGCCCGACAGAATGCCCCCCGCCCTGGGAAAAAAGCCTGCCTGCCGGGGCGGGAGGGCTCACGTTGTGCCTGTGGCAGAAGTTCACGGCCTGGAGGGTTTGCCACGTGATGCTCTTCACGAGATGCTCCGGGACCCTGCAGAGAAAACAAAAACCTGAATGGGGGCTAATCTCTGCGTGGCATCGGTGCCCCCCCCCCCCCCCCGAGGCTCCTGGGGCAGCTTTCAAAGGTCTGTTGCGCGGCAGGCCGGGCCCAGTGGCTGCGGGAACGAGCCGCTCTGGCTGTCGCCGTGGGAGGCCGTGCGCCCCGCCGTCCGCCTGCAGAGCCGTGGCACTTGGGAGGGGAGTCCCTGGGCCTGCCCAGCAAAAGGGGGGGTGACGGCAGAGACACCCCGTTCTTTCCCAAAGGGCCCCGTGACACACGCAACTCCAGTCTTGGCGTTTTAAACCGATGCTGAACCCCCTCAGCTGTATCAGCACATCACAACCCAGAATTCAGCACCCCAGGCCGAGCCGGGATGTGGAGGAAACTGTTTTCGGGCTGGGCATCCGGCCGATTCCTTGGGCTCGGCCCCCCAGCCTCCAGCCCGCCCTGTTGCCACCCTGAGGCCGAGTTCGTGACGAGTGCACCCAGCGTTGGCCGGGGGCTTGCCGGGAAGCGGGTCCCACACGCCGTGCTCGCAGCATCCCTTTCCTCTTCCACTGCGCCGGACACGGCCAAAGGATGCCGCTCTGGGCAGACGCCACACAGGGCTCCGTCCCCGACAAGCCCTGCTGAAGCCCCGGCTGCGGCCCTGAGCTGGGAAGACGTGCCACAGATTCCAGCTCCCACCTCGTGCTCTTGCAGCAGCAGCTGCTCCGCCGGAGGCCTGTCCCTCCGACTCCATGACTGCTGAGTCTGCTTAGGAGCCTTTGGAGGGGGCCTGCTGGAAATCCAAGTCGATGTCTACCTCTTCGCCCCGTCCTCGTGTTTACTGCCGCTCCTGGAGCGGTCTAAAACGTTAGGTGCCACATGACTTTCTTTCTGGGAGCTGTGCTGATGGCTTTTCGGCAAAATCCGTCCTTCTGTATGACTGCTAATTTTATCTTTAATGATGTTTTCCACCAATCTACCCGGAACTGCCGTTACTCCAACTGGCTTTCAATTTCCCAGATCCGTTTCTAAAAAGTGGCACACCGACCATTCTCCATTCCTTGGGCAGAGAGGCCAAACTGAGGTATTTGTTACACGCTTTTCTTCGAAGATCTGTAATTTCACTTTTGAGTCCTTGAGGAGCTCTAGGGTGCACACCATCTGCGTCTGGCGATTTATTAAGTTTTACTGAGGTTGAGAACTTCATCTCTCTGTCACTGCCACGCAATTCGGTTCCACAAACTCCCTTCCTAAAACAGTTCAGGCATGGCTGCCTATGTTGTGTCTTCTGCAGTGAAGATGGGTAAAAAAGAACTCATTTTGCTGCCGCACAAGTTCCCTGGCCCCTTTCACTCCTCAATCGTTCCATGGTCCAGCGGCACCTCTAGCAGGCTCCCACTTTCAGAAATACGTACAGATCTTTTGCAGCTGGAGTATGTGCTCAGAAAGTCCTTTTGCTTCCCGTACTGTATGCTTGAATCTCACCTGCGCAAAATTGTGCTCCCTTTTGCTCTCCTCCTTTCCAAGGACTTCTGTTTTCCGAAGGCGCCTCCTTCGCTCTCACCTCTGCCTTCCGCATTGGGTGTTAACCAGGCTGGGAACCTCCTGGACTTGGCGCTCCCTCTCCTGACCTAGCTGAGCTTTTGTGACGGTGGCTTATTTAATGTATTTATTTGTTAGGATATTTTTATACAAATTGTCTCTGGACAGCTTACAGTGTGAAAAATATCCAATAAATCCAATAGCGAGATGAAATACGACTGCAGATGAATAAAATCTGATAAAAATTACTTAAACCTTAAAATATTGGGCAAATAAAAAGGTTTTTACCTGGCTCTGAAAAGAGTATAAGCTTGACACCAGGCAGACCTCTCTGGGGAGCAAATTCCACAGCTGGGGTGCCACCGCAGAGAAGGCCCTCCTCTGGGTGTTCACTCTCCTGATTTCCTTCGAGGAGGGTTCCCGGAGCGGGGCCTCTGCTGCAGATCTTAAGGGGTGGGAGGGTGTATGGGGAAAAGGTATCCTGGTCCTAAGCCGCTTAGGGCTTTATAGGTCAATACCAGCACCTTGAATTGGGTCCAGACTTCAATGGGTTGCCAGGGTAGCTGATAGAGGGCCAGCATCCCACTGAAGAATAGCGACCGCCCCCCCGGCAGCAATCTTAATCTCTATCTCAATAACCTCCAAGCATTGTGAGAGACTGTAAGCTTCTTGATGTCCCCTCTGAACCAACACGCCCCCCCCCCCCCCGTTTCAAACATAAATGTGCTACATCTGTGCTTCCTGGGCAATGTCCCCCTTTAACCTCTATTTCAAGTCTGAGAACGCTTGGATCGTTAGCTTTTTTGGAAACATTTGCATCGCAAGCAAGATGTGGGTCGTGAATCCGGGATGGGCTCCCCTCTGGCCAGCCCCACGGTGACCTGTGCTAGGAGACCCTCGCTGAGGGCAGGCGGAAACTTGACCTGTTTGCCGTGGCTGGAACACGTGTTCATGTTCGGTTACTGTGGGGTAACCGAAGACACCCGCCGTCGCAATTGCCCGCACGGGGAGGCCTCTCTGCTTTCATTTTCCGTCTCAGGCTCAGTTACTCTCGGAGCCCAGCCTGGTCACCCACACGCCGTGGCAGCTGAGTTTCTCCCCTTCGGCTTTTCTGGCCTGTCCATGTGCCCCCCAACACCCCCAATTCGCTCTCCTAGGCAGGTATATCCGGGATGATGATCTCCCGCTGGTCCTGTCTGTCTGTCTGTCTGTCTGTCTGTCTGTCTGTCTAGACTGTCCTTTACCGTGGTCTCGGGACCATGGTTTAACAATACGACAAAACAGGATAAAACTCAGCATCCTAGTCAATTCTTAACCTATCAACAATCGAATACATATTAAAACAATCAGATCTTAAAACATTGGGAAAATAAAAAAGTTTTAGCCTGGCGTCAAAAAGAATAAAGTGATGGCGCCGGGCAAACCTCTCTGGAGAGCATATTCCACAATCGGGGTGCCACTGCAGAGAAGGCACTGCCCTTTGGGTCCGGACATCAGTGGGTAGCCAGTGCAGCTGACAGAGGACCGGCGTTATATGAGAATAGCAACCGGCCCCTGAGAAGAGAAGGGAATCTCCTTCAAGGGGGGCTCCCAGAGAAGGGCCTCTGCCCCCGATCTTAAGGGGTGGGCAGGCATGTATGGAAGGAGACGCTCCTTCAGGTAACCAGGCCCTTAGCCCCCCCCCCCCCCCCCCCCCCGGATTCCATCAGGCTCGCTCTGTCCAACTTCTCCTTTAAAACCAGGCATCCCGACACTCCCGTTTGGCTCGGAGGCTTGGCGCTTCTGCACAGAATCTCCTCTCCGGCCATTCATGTATTTATTTACTTTCTGTGCCACCCAACACCCGGAGTTCAGTGCAGTTCGCAACCGCATGTTTAGAAAATGACGTGAAATAGGCCATCAGAACATATTTAAAACATCAGTAAAGCTAGTAGTATGAAATGTAAAACCAAATAAAAACAGAATTATATGTTTAAAAGACCCAGTTAAACCCTGTCTAACAACCAGCAGGCCCCAGTAATTAATTAAATGCCCTGCCTTGGAGGGCAAGCTTCACCTGGTGCCGAGAAAGAGAGGAGAGCTGGCACCAGGCAGGCCTCAGTGGGAGCTCGTTCCAAAATTGGGGGCCACCCCGGAAAGGCTCTTCTTGTGGTCAGCATCTGAGCCTCTCTCGGGGGCGGCAGTCGGAGGAAGGCCCAGCTTTGAGGGGGACGGGTCTGCGCCCAGGGAAGCCGGAAGGACGTGTCTCTACGGACAGGAGCAGCCGCCCCTCGACTCCCTGACCAAGAGGAGGGCCTGCTGGCCCGAGAGGGCATTGGCCCACTGAACAAGGGGGCCCCTGCGCTCATGAAGATCCTCGCCCAGGCCCAGGGGCTCTCTGGACGGCCGCCGCCTCGTGCCTTCCACGCCCACAATTCAAACGGGCTGCAACCGACAGCGGCCTGAGCGGGATCCCACCTGCCCCTTGAGCCGCCGGGCAGCCTTCCAACCTAACGCACTTTGAGAAGGTGCGCCTGACATTTACTCCTGAGCGATCGTCCCCGGTGCCAATGACTTCGCAGGAAATGCAGAACTGGGTGGTTTTCTCGGAAAGGTCGAGGGAGGGAGGGAGGGAGGGAGGAATCCGTTCCCAGCCGGCCGCTGGCTCCTGCCGGTTCCAAGGGCTCACGAGACGGTGCCCCTTCCCCCTCTCGCGTGAGGCTACCCAAAGGCTGCGCTCATGCCATCTCCTCTGCGGGGGGCACAGGGTGGCTCGGGAGCCATTCTGGTGGGCGCCGTGCCTCGCTCCAAGGCCACCCACGCCACCCTGCCTCCAGCAGCCCAGCCTCCACGGCCGAGCGTCGACGGGGAACCATTTGCCGCGTCCGGCCCAGCAGCTGACGGGCCGCTTGCAGGCCCGGCTACTTACCCCCGCGGGTTCTTGTCCAGCTCGTGCAGTACGGTGCGGTCGCAGTACTCGAAGACGAGGTGAAGCTTCCGCTTCCGCCGGAAGACTTCCAAAAGGTTGACCAGGTTGGGATGCTTCAGTTGCTGGAGAGCACAAGACGGCAGGGCTGAGGTCAAAGCGACGGAAATTGCACCCGTACGAGCAAAGCGAGGCAGGCTTTGAAACGCTGCCTGCCTGGGGCTTCTTTGTGTCGCCAGTCCTTGCAAAACGCCAAAATGCATTATTGCTGCACATGCACAGTGTCATGGCTCGCCTCTCGGCTGGTTTTCCCTCCTCCCTTTGCTCTCTCTCCTACCCGACTGTAACCTTCCCGCCCTCCATAAAGCCACATGCACCCAAACGCCTTCGCCACCTTCTCCAAAATCGCTCTGCTCCTGCAAATACCAGCGTGACAGACGCACTTCACGAAGAATCCCAGATGGGGCTCTTGGGACGGAGCCTGTGCTGGAGGGGAGAAGAGCATGGCCTGCTTTGGCCCCTTCTAGCCAGTGATTCAATTTCTAGAGGGAAGCCATTTCAGGGCCGGACCTTGCCTAAAAGCCGCAGAAGCGAGGCACGGAGATGAAAAGGGACCTGGATGATCTGAGAAGCGCTGCTGGGCAGGATTGCCATGACAAATCTTCCCAGTCTGAGGAACAAAAGCCCGGAACAAAGAGCCAGCTTCGATTTTCACGCTGCTGCCCAGCCTGCCTTCTTTAGAACTCCATCTTGAATAGGCTTGATATATGAGCTATCAGCTACCCCAACAGGCTGGGAAACAAACAAAAATCAAAACAGAGCTCACCTACGGTTTCAGGAAGAGAAAAGTCACTTGCCGTAAACTCTTCATCACAGTTCAGGCCCTTCCACCTCTCGGCTCTGCTCCCAACCCTTTTGACTTTGACTGTAAACACAGACGTGCTCCTCCCGGCTTGGAGAACTCAGGCCAGCTTTGTGGAGCTGGGCTCTACAAGTCCCAACAGACTTCGAAGCCCCAGTGGGTAAAATGCTGCCCAGAGGATCCTTATGGACAAGCGGGCTGCACATGCATTCAACAAAAGGAGGGAGAGGCACAAGGGGGCTTCCGTTCTTTGCCCCAAGACGCTGCCCAGGTCCCCTGGGACAGACAGAGGCCCAGCAGGCCGTGGGACCCGCCAGTGCAGCCACCACCCAATTTTCTCGTGATAGCTACCCAGAAGCCTCAGGGCCAAGGCTTCGGCTGGTTTCCTGAAGGAGCGCCTCCTGGCACATGTGCCTGCCCGGCCATTAAGATCTGGGCCAGAGGCCCTCCTCCGGGTGCCCTCCCTGAAGGAGAGTAGGAGGGCAACTATCCGGAGAAGGGCCTTCTCTGCGGTGGCACCCCAATTGTGGAATTTGCTCCCCAGAGAGGTTCGCCTGGCGCCATCACGTTATTCTTTTTGGCGCCAGGCTACAGCCTTTTTATTTTCCCAATGTTTCACGATCCGATTGTTTTAATTGGGGTATTACTGTCAGCTGGAATTTGTAGGATGCCGTGTTTTATTTTGTATTGTTAAACTATCCTGAGACTTTGCAAAGGGACAGTCCAGAAAAGTTTTAAATTAATAAAATAAATAGATAAGCCCCCAGGAAGCCCACAAGTGGGCATGAGCGCACCAGAACCTCCTGCTCCAGTTCCCAGCAACGGGTGCTGGGGCTCGCTGCCCCCCATGCTGGTGCCAGCAGACAGCAACCCTGCTCCTTCCCCCACAGATCCCTTGATCCTCAAACACTTGAAAACCAGCATTTACACGCCACAGAAGAACACAGGAAAACAGCCATGCGCATCAATCTCTCCCATCTCTGCCACCGTGGCCTCTGTCCAGGAGGCGTTTGCCGTGACCGCCAAGTGACTGATGTGGAATCCTGCCCTTCACCAGGGAAAAGGCGGCTGCATCCGCCCTCCCGCAAGCCCTGCTTGCGCAAGCCGCCAAGTTCTCCCCACGAGCAAGCAAACAATCTGTTTCTATTGACGGAGGACGTGCCTGGAGAGGCGGGGCGGCAGGTCCACACTTGCTAAACCAACACTGCTCGGCACAGACCCAGGCGCCGCAGCGAACGGCCCCGTCTCTCCGGGGTTTCGCCCTTTCTCACTTGGCGCCTCGGGTGTGAGGGGCAGGCGCATGCCACACCCGTGCTTCCGGCATCGGCTGCCACCCTGCGCTGCTTGCTGGGCTGTAGGAATGGTGCACAGGCCTTCTGCCGGAGCTCGGGGAGGTCCCAGCGGATAAGCTCCGTGGGTTTGGGAGCCCCCGAGAGGGCCGGGCACGCCAGGGACCGAAGAAGCTGCAGGGAGAATGGGGAAGGCCCGGAGGACGTGGCCGCTGGCTCTCCCGAGCATCGGGCTCGCTTTCCCAACCAGCTGGCCTCCAAATTCATGGGACCCCCATCAATTTGGACGCCAGGAGGCCCCAAACGCCAGCAGCCCCAGAGGGCGTCAGGTTGGGAATGGCTGCAAGGGAGCGTGGTCCCGCCCAAGGAAAACGAGGGGCTTGCCACGCAGGTCATGCGCTTGCACGCGCCACGGGGACCTGCTTTATGGGGTCGCCTTTGCAAAAGGTGCAGCTGGGCCAAACTGCGATGGGACCGGGAGCACGTGACCCATTGGCTCTGAGCGGAGTGGAACGTGCTGGTGCTGACCCAGAACGGGAGCAGACCTAGCTGAAAGACCCCCGCCCCCCGGAGCCAGGGCCTTTTCGGTGGCCGCTCCCTGCCTGTGGTGCTCCCCACTGAAGGCAGCCAGGTTTGTGCCCTCTTTGCCGTCCTTCTGAGGGCAGCAAGGCCTCCTCCCTCACGCAGGCCCTCGGCCTAGAAGTAGGTCTGTGAGCTAAGCAAAGTGTTCCGCTTGTAACTCTTCTCTTTTATTGCATCTTAACACATTTTATTGTTTTACTCCACTTTAAATGTTTTCTGTAAGTGTGAGAGGCATTTTTGGGTAGAATGGCAGGGTATAAATCAAATCTATCGATCGATCAATCAATAGGGAGTTCACTGGGACAGAGCAGAAGGACAGCAGAAGATTCGGCGATTTCAAAGAACCATCAGACAAATCCATGTAGGAAAAACATACCAGTGGCTCTCCACCGGGGCAGCTCAATACTGAGCCTCCCTGATCAGGGGCAGACTACCTTGGAGAAACAGTCGCTGGGGGGAAGCAGGGAGTGACTGCACCTCCATTTTCCCACCGCCAACGGAAGCCAGCAGGCCTTTGATCTGATCAACTAAGGCAAGTCCTGAAAGCGATCTTATCTCTCCTTTGCTGAAGGGCAGCGATTCTCATTCCGCGCCAAGCGTATTGTCTGTGGGAGACTAACGGCCGGAGGCTTAATTTGTGGCCTGGGCTGCTGCACAGCCAATTATCGAACACAAACCGTGCTCCAGGGAAACGGAGCCGGGGCACTGAGAGGAGAAGCGGCCGGCCTCGCTGGACCGGCGCGGGGTGCTCCTCCTCTGGGAGCCAGGGCGGCAGAAGGGCAGCAGCCGAGTGTGGGCGACCGCCCCTCGGTGCCTCCCCAGCACGACGGGTGCTGGACCACCTCCAGCGCAAGGCCTCATCCGGGCCAGTTCTGCCCGGGCCCCGACAGCTCAGTCCCCTGCTCCAGCGATCCCTGGATGCATCCAGTGACAAACAGATGCATCTGTTGCATTGACTGCCACCCTTCCCGCTCTTCGAGAAACCCCAGGTGGCTGACACAATCGTCTTCCTCCCCAGGTTCCCCTCACAACAACCCTGTGAGGTAGCTTAGGCCGAGAGTTAGGCCAAGAATCGGCGTGTGTCCCAAAGCAACCCGCATGGGTTCCCCGCCGAGTGGGGGCTGGGTGACCCCGAGCCACGTGGAACAAGCCCGCACGCACTCTGCTCTTGACCCGTGTGCCTTGGATCAGGACGGGGCAGCTTTGGCCGTGCTGCAAGAGAACCCCCGGAGCAGAGGGGGGCTCGGCTGCAGGACGCCCTGCCCAGGTGCCCATCCGGGGATGGAGAGGTGCGCCTGGAAGCATCTGGGCAGCAGAAGCTCGTCAGACAGCTGTGCTTAGGCCGGGGTTTCGGCAGGCGTCCGTGGGGCGCGGCCTCTGCCCCTCAGTGCAATAAGCGCATGGGCCGTCCAGCCTAGCACGGTGACACGGGCTGGCAGCTGCCGCCCTCCAGGCTTTCAGGCAGGGCCCTTCCCCAGCCCTGCCGGGGGGCTGCCAGGACCGGACCCAGAACGTTCCACAGGCAACCTGGGGGCACCGGGCTACGAGTCCCGGCCGAGGCGGCGCTGCCTTGCCGGCAGCCGACCGGGCCCTTCCGGGCAGCCCCCAGCAGGCGCTGGTCAGCGGCTCGCTCCCATGCCCTGCACTGTCCACGGACGTGTCCAGCAGCCGGCCAAAGCGGATCGAATTACCCAACTGCAGCCAATCTCCCCCCCCCACCCCCATGCAAGCTTCTAGCACAACAATACACAAACATGTTTTATTTGCGTGGCGCTGATGTGCAAAGCCCAAGTCCTCAGGTGGCTTTGCGGGGAGGGGGCAGCGAGGGACACCCCCCCCCACAACGATGCCTTTCCCCTCTCCCCCGAAATGTGCCGCTTTGATGTGTGCGTGCGGAGACAAGAACGGCCGAGGCTCCGCTCTTTCCACTGCCGAGCTGGCGGTTCTGCCGCCCTTCCTTCCCTACTGGGACGAGTGTGTGTGTGTGTGGGGGGGGGGCGTGCTGCCAGGCTCAACTGTAAAATGCCAACTCTGCGTATGTTTCAGAGTGCAAAAGCCGGGATACGCTACACCGCTGCTGAAGTTCTCGGGTGCTTTTTAAGGGCGTGTGCCGCATTCCTAAGCAGCACTGACCGTGTCCAGTGGGGAATCCACCCGGTCACTTCAGGAGCCGGTGGCGGAAGCGCCCCAGGACGGTTCAACAGAGAGAGGCCGCTGGCCGTGCCTTGTGCCAAGGGGAAAGTCAAGCACTCCGGCGGACGGGCCGGATGGGTCGAGATGGAACCGGAGCTCGGAAGCCAGGCTGCCTCCTCCTCTGCCTCCACCTCACCAGCTGCTCCCCAGAAAGCAACCTCCAGGCACCCCGAATTTTCTCCTCATTCTCACCTGCAAACCCACGGTGAACATAAGGGGCGGGAGAGGAGGAAGCTGGGTTGTGAAGTTCCTGAAAAACAGGGACCAGCGCTTTTGCACGTGGTGCCTTCCGACTGTGCTGAATGGACCCCCTCAGCTGCCTGCAGGAGGCATCCAGTATCCCATGGAGGGAGCATCACATCGCTGTGGGGTTGCAGCGGTTCAAGGGGGTGGACCTGGACTCAAGCAATCCAGGCCCCAGGTCCGACTTCAAGCTGCAGCTCACGGAGCCCATCAGAGACGCAGCCTAGCCTGCCTCGCAGGGTTGTTGTGAGGGTAACATGGGCCGAACTGCGGTCTGAGGGCACGGAGAGGCTCCTCCAGGCCTCCTAAGCTGCGATCTGGGCCTGGGCTCTTCCGCACAGAAGAAGGTGCTCTCCTGTGGGTCAGTGGAGCCCGTGGGGGATTTGGCTGGGAGGTTCTGGGGGGGGCACTCTAACAAAAAATCTTTGGCACACAGCTCAGGCAACAACCCTCTAGCAGGGGCCCTTCCAGACAAAAACGTCTTAGCACTAACAGTCAGAAGGCATGAGCGCTCTTCCATTTCTTCTTAATCTATTTTCTGCACCAAGAAAACAAACAGAAGAAGCAATGCAAAAGCACGGGGTGCCTGGGGAGTTACACTAATTTGGAAGTTTTTGTTTTTTAACTGCAAACTCGATCAGTCAATTAGATTGTTTAAAAGCGGGGAAAACGTATTAATTTGTAGAAAAATCATAGCATTGTAGGGTCCTACAATCCCCTGCTGTTGTAGGATACTAACAAACCTGTGTAAGACCCCATCTGAACTGGATTTCACAGAAGCTCCGGTGAAGTTACCTTTAGCATCCGAATCTCTCGAAGGGCGATTTTTTTAATGACGGGGTCATCCTCAGATTCCAGGAACTTCTTGATTGCCACAACCTGCCCCGTGTCCTTGTTCCGGCACTTGAATACCACACCGTATGACCCTTCGCCAATCTTGCTGATCTTTTCGTATTTCTCCATGGCCAAATGGAAGGACAGCAAGAAAGTCCGGAGTCAAGATCAAGCTTGGCGATAGAAAAGTCCCTTTAAACATCCAAAAGTGTCCAAAGACACAAGCCCACGTAAACCTGCAAGCAAACCCAAAAAATGCATTTATTGACACACCAGGAAGCTACAGAACTGTTGTGATTTTACTGAATTTTTACTGAATTTTTCAAAGTCAGATTCCAGCCAGGTCTCGTGGGATGTATCCGCATGAAATTCATCAGCAACTGCCATCCGTTTGGCCTCTTTCTTGGGGCAGGAGATGGGGGCCAAGGAGCACCGGGGGTCTGGTGGCCCAAACCCAGGTAGCACATCTTTCCCACCCTGATGCAGGATGCAGGCTGGGCACCACATCGGGAGGGCACCAGGTTGGAGAAGCCTGAAGGCCTGGGAACAACGGCCCTTCACAAATGCACCTCTTTTGAAACGGGCTGTATCACCTCAGTCTGCAGTGCCTTGTTCCTGCCCAGGATGCCCAAAATCCGGGCACCGAAGGCACGACGGGGCAGTGCGCAGAATACGGGGGAAAGCCCCTTGTCTGCGCCACCTTTGAGGGGGTTTTGCAATTTTGAGCTGGACAAGGCCCTGGCAGCACAGATCAGCACGAGTTCCTCGTTACCCGAACGAGGGTTTCCCGCGTAGCCGCAGGCCGGGATGGCGCCCTGCAGCTCGACCCCGGAGCACGCAGGGTGGCCTGGCGCAGCTCACCGGGACCATCGTGCCCGTCGCAAGATCTGCCCCCGCAGGCCGCTTGTTCTGCCCCGCCACGCCAGGAACGCTGCCAAGGCCTGAGAGACCCGGGCTCGGCTTTGCTTTTCCTCCTCCCTCCCCATCCCCCTTCCTTTCGTGTCGCGCCTCTCGGTCGTAAGCCGGCGAGCAGGGTCTGTCCCCTCGAGGGCACCAAGCGCCGCAGGTGCGCCCCCGACGGCCGCACGGGAGCGGCGGACCCTGCTGGGAGCGCCCCGGGGCGGCGGGCCCTCGCGCGGGGCGCCCTCGCCTCCCACCGGCTGCGGGACCGCGGCGGTGCCGCACAGCCTCCGCGGGGAAGCGCGGGGAAGCGCGGCTCGGCGGCCCGGGCCCGGGCCCGGCAGGCC